CAGAAATTTGATTCAAGTTTTGAGGTGTAACTGTTAACTAGCACACATAACTGTTATCAAGACCTCTATCATGGAAAAACTGTAAAAGGAGAGTTTATAAACTGTATTGGTGTTTTAATGTGGTACTAGAAATTATTTAATGAACAATTATGTCATATAGTGAGCTGAGTTTAAAGATCTGTTTCTATACTTCTTAAGCATTTCAAGATCCTTGTTCCCTCAAGCTTTCCCTTAAGCACTTTCTTGTCTAAGAGTGTAACAGTGAAGAAAAGTGACACAAAACTTGGCTGAAAACAGAAAACTCCATATAACATTTGTGGTAACTGTTTCTGTTTTTGTTTTTCCCTCCACTATCGTTTGTGCATTTCTAGATAAAATATAAGTAAATACAGGTAAAATCTGAGCAGGTAATCAAAAGTTAAATCAGTTTGCAATCAAGTAACACAAGTACCATCAAATAAGAAAATTGAGAGGTTTTTTTCTTTTTTTTTTTTTCCAAATTCCAGACAAACTGGAACATTAATACTGATACCAATACTTTTAAAATACAGTAAAGAGCGAAAACCATCCATTTGCTATTATGATAATTTAATGTTTTGCTTGGGTGTTTTTTTTATACATAAATGTGGTGAAACTACTATTCTCGATACATGTTTAATGAGGACATTAGAGAAGTGCTCATGGAAAGCATAAAAATCTACACATTCTCCCTCATTGCCATGCCCAATGTTTGCAATGACTGGCATTAAACGGACATGAGTGGCTTATTCTATTCCTTTCTTCTTTGTTGAATAACTCACTGAGGATTGGGGAGGACAGATGACTATATCCCTCCTTTATCTTCTTTACTTTTATAGAGAATAACTGCTTTTCAATTTCATGCTTAGAGAATATTTTTCCTTCAAGGCAGAGCACCATCTTGGTGCATGCTGTCAGAAGGGTTAGGCATCACCTTACTCAGGTGCTGGGTCCCACCAAGGCACAGGCAGTAGCTGGGCAAGAATGGTTCTTTACTTCAGTTCAAGGTTATCATTTTGGACATTTGCAACTAAAAGTCTCACATGCTATGTATGAGCTTGATGCTTAAGATTTTGGCCTCAAGCAAAGCAGGAGCTTAAATCCAAGGGTTCATGCCCAAACAGAGTGATATAATGCAGAGCTAGTGGCTATTTTATGTCAGGACAAACTTTCTTATCGTTCCATACAGAATTTCCATCCCCAGCATAAGTAATCACTCTAAAAGAGAGTTTTGCTGACAACAGCATATTTCTATGGAAAAATATGGCTTCAGTGAATTAGTATTTTACTTTTTTGGTGTGTATGAAAAACACAAGATATTGTAATTCTTCATTTCTTGTACAGTTTTCTTTGAATGTCACCTTTAGCCTAGAACAAGCATTGGTAGAAAACAAAATGCATGAGTGAACAGGAGAACATTTGCCTCTTTCTTTAACGATTTAAAAATGAAGATCCTCCTGTTGTCCAAACAGAATGCACAGTAAAACTGCAAGATAACTTGCTTGGAATTAGGAGAGATTCAGTAATCACTGAAAAGGTTTTTGAAGGGAAGAACTAAAAAGTTACATCCTTAAGTTGTGATCTTACAAAATTCATTTGCATAGTCATTGTTTTCAGTGAAGCAATTTAAGCATGACCTACTCACATAAGTAAATTAGATGTTTGATCTTTTATTGTGCAGAGAAAGGCTCAGTTTGACATAGCAGTAGCTCATAATTTAGTATTAGTAATTAGTCTTTAAATTAAAAGAAATAGAGGTGTCATTTTTTTGAACATTTCTCCTTACATTTCCAAACATATGGTTGTCTGACAGTTACTGTTAACAAATTCACTCTACTCTGTCTATAGAGTAGTCACTGTAATCACTGATTACTACAATGCTACAATGGCTTCCTGCAATGGTCGGCAGTTTTTAGCATGTGCTGTAATATAAAACAAAAAGTGTTAATTGTTTTTAGAGTCTCTATTAGTAATATTCCATTGGGTAAATAATAAAAATGCTTTCTGATGTTCCTGAACTTGGAATCAGTAAAAAATAATACTAGCAGTAATTCTCCTAGGTAAACTGCAAATTAGATGTCAGAATACAGCAATGATGGGTTTATGTTTAAACCACTACAAAAGGTATTGCTACTGACATGAGAGAACTTCTCACTCCACACAGATAAATATTAACAAGAGTTAGTGACTGAGTAACTCAATCTGAATAAAGTTACTATAATAATGTTGTAGAAATAATCAGATGCAGAAAAGGAAGAATATGAACTAAGTGAAAATGAAGATGCTAAAGACAGCAATAGGTGAAAAGAGCACAGATATGTATATGCATATATGTGTGTTTATATAGGTATTCAAGCCATATATTGCCCCTGTGTATGTACCAATGAAATACCAGACAGGTATGACTCTACACCACAAATCTATGCAAGTTAATGGCGATGCACTGCAATACTGTCATACGTATACTATCATAGAATAAGGCTGCATGCAGCATCAAAGATGAACATATAAAGTGTAACTTTGCATGCAGAGGGAAAACATATGCCTGTTCAATGTACTTGAACAGGGAAAAGGAATGTGCATTTATACTAGGTCTTGATAACATATGTGACACCGCTGTCTAGATCTTACTTCTTCAGTCTGATGAAGAATCATCATTATCACAGAATCATCATAGAATGCTTAAGGTTGGAAGGGACCTCTAGAGGTCATCTAGTCCAACCCCTCTGCACACGCAGGGTCACCTAGAGCACGTGGCACAAAATCGCATCCGAGTGGGTTTTGAAGATCTCCAGAGAAGGAGACTCCACAACCTCTCTGGGCAACCTGTTACGGTGGGCCGTCACCTTCACCGTCAATAAATTTTTCCTTAAGGCCCTGTGGAACTTTTGGTGTTTCAGTTTGGGGCCATTATCTCTAGTTCTGTCGGTGGCCACCACTGAAAAGAGGCCAGTACCATCTTCTTCACTCCCTCCCTTCAGGATGAACAGGCTCAGCTCCCTTAGCCTCTCCTCATAGGGCAGATGTTCCAGGGCCCTGATCATCCTTGTAGCCCTGCGCTGGACTCTCTCCAGCAGCTCCATATCCCTCTTGTACTGGGGAGCCCAGAACTGGACACAATACTCCAGTGCACTTGGCCTTGTTGAATTTCATGAGGCTTCTCACCACCCAGTTGTTCAGTCTGTCCAGGTCCCTCTGGATGGCAACCCAACCCTCTAGGGTATCAGGTACTCCTCCAAGCTTAGTATCATCAGCAAACTTGCTGAGGGAGCACTCTGTGCCTTCATT